TGCAGACATTGATTAGCTCTGTGGCAGGAGAGTGGAGGTAGCTTGAGCTGCCCACACTTTCCAGACACCCCAGGCAGGTGCTTTGGTGGCTTGAGGGCCCCTCAAGCTCCTGAAGCACCTGCGTGGCCTTCCTTGCTGACAGGGAGGCACCCTAAGGAATCTCAAGCTGCTGGTCCATAAGCAGGGAAAGTTGGGGTTCCCTGCTTATGGAGACACCCCACAGTCTTCACAGGTGTGTTTGAGTATGAAAAGCTTGCACAGGTCCCATGTGAAGGCACAGGACCCAGGGAATCTCTGGTACCCTGTGCTTCCCCATAAGGACCAGCTTCCTGAGACTCATCCACAGGAGGCAGGTGTGGGTAAATGAAGAATAGAGGGATTTTCCCACATATCAGACCTGCCTTGGAGATCTCAGGGGTGGATCTAGGTAAGCAGGGAAAGTGGGACTTGTGTCCCCAGACACCCTGAGGGCAGGTCTGGATAAGGAGGGAGACCCAGTGCTTTAAGGGCCTGATCCTGTCCAGGACTTCCCAGGTTCATAGGACTGGGCCCTGTAAGCCCTGGGAGAATAGATCTCCCTTTGTCCCTCATCATCAACAGGAGGGACAAGAGGCGCGATGGGTGTTTTGCCCAATGAAGCGGATCAGCTGTGCCACAACACAGTGTAGTACAGCTGATGAGCTTCATTCAGTGACATGTTTCTAGCCACAGGGCACTGTCATGTAACACTTCTTCCCCTGTCCCCTCTATTCATCATATCACATTATTTATTAGGGATCTGATTATTAGAACTCTTGAGTTCCTCTTTCTTTCTTTTTGAGAGATTTAGAAAGTGCCAATCAACGTAATGCCCAGGCATGGTTTTAAACCTAGATGTGAATATTTTCAGTATGCACATTTCTGAATAGCATGAGGGTAGTTTAGCTTTTGCGACTCATTAGTACAGCGACACTTTTGTAACATTAGTGACATTGACTTGTTTCATCAATTTAAATAGATTTTTAGAGGGGAAAAAGTTCCATTAGTAATTCTACTAAAAAAAGAAAATTCACGTATGTAAGACCCCTTAGCTTAAGCATTTGTTTTAAATGCTGTACAGTATAGGGTAAACTTTGCATCCATTTAAAGGCTTTTCTGAAACCAAGTCCTATGATTAGGAGGAAAAACATTTACAACTTTTATAGTTGAAATGAAGAACTGTTGGCTCATTGAACTTCCCTAGATCTGTCACTTTCAGGTACTTAATTATCCTTAATATAGAAATTGGATGGTTAAATGAATCAGAAATAATAGGACCTGTGGAAAAACATAAATTCAGATAGTTTTCTTCTAATCCTCATGGACTCAAGACACTCTGTGGACTAATGGTATTTGTAGCCATTTCTGTTGTAGCACAGAGTAACACAGCAAGAACATCTGAGCTTAATAAGTGATACAGGGGAAAAAATTTTAAAAAGGAAAATTGTTCTTCTGCACAGTTGGTCCAATAATCCTCTAGGTCAGTGGTTCTCAAACTTTTTTTTGCATGGAAAACTTGAAAATTGCTGAGGGTCTTGGTGGACCACTTAATAAACTTTTTTGCGTCATCGTCCAAATGGCCTTGATCTCCGTCGTCAGAAAAAAATGAATCAAGTGCAGGGCCAAGTACAGATCATCTCGATTGTTCCACAACCTTTCTGCCGACCTCCTGAATGGAGCTGAGAACCTCTGCTCTAAGCCAATCTTGTTGTTTAATTACACTGCTCAAATAGAACGGCTTGCTTACTTCATTATATTATGTAGCTTGATATCTAATTATGATAAAGAGGTATTACTCTTGTTGCCTGAATTCAGTGAAGTAATGTGCATTTGGGGTGACCTTGAAGGCAGTTTTGGAAAAATCTTCGAGTGGATATAGATCCATCTTTCACACAGCGAATGACTTGAGCTTTTCTTGTTGGAAGGCTACTGCTCTGTGATACAGTCCTGGAGTTCGCCACCATAGTTGTGGTCATCCATATGGATGCTTTGTTATGCCGTTGCTTCTTTTGACACAGTTCAGTTTTGCATACAGTACAAAACCAGGCGCAACGAAATGTCTGCTGCATGGAAAAACAAGATGGGAGCTCTACAATGGAACACTTTTCAGCAAAGCTATGAGGGCCAGCAAATTTCAGGCAGCAGTTCTCCAGTAAAGTTGATTTTCTCTCTAAAAGACACAGTTTCTATAAATCTTGAAAGTAAGAGTAAACCTCACCACTAATAGGCAACTACATAATCACTTTTCAGTATTTCTTTCAAATCTAGTTCCTTCAAATAGCATCATGGTCAATATATAAATTCTTCCAAAAATTGCCAACTGAACTATTTATCTACCTGCAACAGGACTTCCTTGACTGTGTATACCATTGCAACCCTGTGGTGGGCATGGGAATGTCCCACAACATGCTTTGTGCACAATAATTCTTCCATCCCCTGTACCTCAAGCATACAAAACTCCCGTGTGGGTCTTACCCCTGGCCTTGGCCTCCATGCATTGTACTTCATTCTGTCTGAAAAGTAGTGCTGAATTCTTCTCTCATTTACATCATTCCAAATCTGAAAGCAACTGCCATGTAGTCAATGCAATTACGCTGGATTTAAGAGACTATAATAAGTAAGAGCAAAATTTCACTGAGAGAAGGCCATTAAATTTGAAAATGAGGTCAGTGTGTGCAAACATGTTGTTGTTTTTTTTATTTTAATAAAGCCTATGCATTTTTCTATGCAAGAAGCTTCCTACCAGGTCCTAAACCCCTAGTCTTGAGCTCTTTGGCAATTCATGTTCATGATGGCCTTGGCCCATAAATTATTCTTCATTACAGACCCCCATGAGGAAGAAAGCAGCAGCCTTCTTGTACACTGCATCTTGGTCTTTCCTTCTCTAGCTTCTTCAATTTATTTATGGGTGTAGTGTGATGTGATCTAGTTCAACGTTAGTGTGCTGGCTTCCCACATGCTCCATTCTGCAGCAGAGCATGAGGTTACCCAAAATCTGTTAATTTGTTGAGGTGTTTCTTTATACAATTTGACAAACACATAGCAACGAGAACTCTGAAAAATTATACTTCCCATCAAAACACTTTGGTTAGAAAATGTAAAGCTCTGTTTATAATAATTTTGATAAAAGCTAACAACCAAACTCCAGCCAGGTTCCAAAACACAGGTTAGAGCATAAGAGAACTTTTTAGATTTTCAATAAAGCAAATTATCTTCACTTCCAATGCTTGTATAGTTCACTGTTTTTGGAAATGAGGAATTGCTTATTTTGGCAGTGTCAAGTACTTCCTTTTCTTGAGCTAGTTATTTTTTAAATGTGATGCTTTGGTGCCTTCTAATTTATTTGTTTGCTTATCAGATGGTTATTGTTGTATTGTTAATCAAAATATAATCGCAGCAGTGTTAGTTATTAGGTGGCATTGTAACATGGCCTGACATATGTTGTGGGTTTGTGATCATTCTTAGGATTCACATATTCGCGGTGGAGGTGGTAGTGTTGGTTTTGTGGGTTATGGATACAGAATAGCCTACAGCGTGTTCTCAAATGCCATCTGGTGGAGGGGTGGGGGGTAGAACTGGGTAATTTCAAATAAAGCTCAGCATTTATACAAGAGCATACAAAATGTCAGTAAAAGGTATACAAGAAAAAGGAGGCAAGTGTCAATGTGAAAAATAGCAAATTTGTTTCCTGTCAGGCCTTTTGGCTAAATTCAAGTGTTGACTTGACAACATGCATGCCTTGATATCTTTATCATAGTGAAATAAAGCCGCCCTTGTCATGTACTCTGACCACAGAGGGGTTGAGTGAAAGTGAAGTTTGTTTGTTTTTTTTCTTTTTTTTCCCTTTAAATCTCCAAATGCCTTTGGATTTAAATTTCTTAATAGAGATCACAAAGGAAGTAAGAAGGATGACTTGGGCAAACAGCATGTTAAATTCTTCCTACCTGTAAAATTGAGGCAAAACTTTAACTGCTTCCTTGGAAAAAAAACATGTCCCATTTATTCTCGGTGCAGCATTTTGAAAATTTACTCAGTGTGAAACCCACTTAATGCAACATTCTGAAAATTCACTCCGTAAGAAGCATTTCAGTGCTGTTTAATAAGCTGCCAGTTACAGCTGTAGTTTAGGGCTTTTTATTAAAATGGCTTTTTCGGAACCTCCTATTGATGCGAGAGACCATTTCCATCACCCGAAAGGCTTGATGTTCGTTCTTATTAGCACTGTGACTAAAAACAGCTCCGAGTTAACTCCACAGGTGCCCGTAACCCTTGCATTTACGGTGATTTAGAATAAAGCGCATTATTTCAGACCTAGCAATTGTAAGCAAGGAAAGCAAAGATACCCTCAGCAGATTGCATGTCAGTAGGACATCTAAGTGCAAATTGCAGACTCCTGTTGTAGTCAGTACTGGAGAATCTGTTCCATGGCACACGTGTTGTGAAAAAGAACATTTTAAATAACAATATTCTGGTTCGTTCTTTGCTTTTAAGTGTTACCACTGAAATGAAATCTCTTGCAATGGTGGTAGAAAAAAACATCATGACTTGGATGTTGCTTCTAAAGGAGTATTATTGCTTGTTCTGAGAGCTGCTTGAAGAGCAATAAACCTCTGTATAAGTGTGATTTGCAGCTCCCATTGATGGAGCCTGGCAGATTTCAGATGCTCAGGAAACCCTAACTGATCCCATTAAAGTTCAAATCTGTATCTTTACTTCAGATTTCAGCATCGCATTGTACAATTTCCTTCAGCATTATCCACCAGAGTTAAACCAGGAGGCCTGGTATTCATGGGTTGCCTGAGTAGTCTCTCAATGAAGATAAATGACTAAGTCTTTCAGAAACAGTGGCGCGTGCAATACAGAAATTAAGCAGAGTTTTCTATAAAAATTAAACATGGGCTTTGGACACGCATCTTTAAGACACGAGCTTTAATGCAGATCATGAATTATTTCTAATAATTTTTATTTTCTTTCTCCTCTAGGCCGTGACAGTACGAAATTCCATGGCTAAATCATTATACAGTGCTCTGTTTGATTGGATAGTTTTTCGAATTAATCACGCGCTTTTGAATGCAAAGGATGTGGAAGAAAGCACCAAGGTAAATTCTAGATCCTCATGCTTGGTTGTTAGGTTGTAACCTTGGCTCTAACGTTTACAGTTAAACAAGTACGAGCATGTGTAACAAAATGGTCAAATGTGATGTAGAGACACGGGAAGTAGTAGTAGTTACAGGGTAAAACATTACACAAACTATTGATTACAAGCAGCCCCAAAAGGCCTGTTCCCGCTTGTATTTCAAAAATGAGACCATAATTTTATTTTTTAAAAAGTGACATTTTGTGAATTGTGATAATAAATGGCATCAAGGAATTGAGTCATGATGTGAGTCACGATTGAGAGAGGATTTGTGTCTGACAGAAAACTTATCTGCCCCCCCATAAGACTGCTAATCTCAATTTTAATTAAATGATTCCTGTAAAGTGTTAGTCTGCTTTATTTGTAAACCTGTAGCATGTAATGTTATCGAGAAGGAAGGTCAAAAGAGGTTAGAGGGTGGAATGCTACAATAAGTTGCTCATTTAAAAGGATTTTTCTACTTTTAAACCAAGGAAGAACAAATGGGTATAAATGGGCTTTGAATCAATTTGTGCTGGAAAATAGGATGTTTCTATCCAGCAGAGAAGGAAGATTCTGGAAAAGCCTTCCAGTAGGAACATTTGGCTAAAGAAACTTAACTGATTTCAAGTCGCAGCTTAATAAATTTGATAGGGTTTACATGATGTGAGCACAGGTGATAGCAGGGAGTTGCTCAGTGACTCAAGATATAACTCCTAATATACAAATATTTTCTTCTGCCCTAAAAAGAGACTTACTCTTCCTTCAAGTTAAGGGTTGTCTGTCTGTATGTATGCATATACATGCAGACAAACCTAACTAAATACCCTTGGCTTTGAAATTGGGTCCAGGCCAGCAGAACTTTTGGTCATACATCTAGCTGACACTGCAGCTGCCAAAAATGATTATTTAGCTAAGTGCTAACATTGTGTTTGAATTATCCTACTGTAGAACTGATTGAAATTACAGATCCTTAAAGTATGCCTGACCCTTTATTTTACTGCACAGATATGCTTGTAATGTATAAGGAAAATAATTATGGTCTGTGTGCACACATCTTTGTTTTTGTAAAATTCATTTTTAATATGTGGTGATGACACTGCTGGCACGTGAGTTTGTTAAAATGGATAACATGCTATGTTTCTTCTGGCTGCTTTCTCCGCTATTTGGTATTTTACTGTAAATTTTATGTTCTGTCTTTGTTCCAAGAGCCTAAAGGTTTCCTTTGGGTTGTCTGAAGAGGGAATTTATGTATTTGGTGAGCCTACGAGTTGGCTTTTTTGTTGGGGGGAGTGTAGCTCAAATATTAACCAAATGAATTATCTATTTTTTTAGAAGTAATTTAAAGTGCTAGCTGTTCCTTAGTGTATGTCTACATTCAAGGGATGTGCTTGTGCTAGGACAGTATACCTTGCCTGCTGAACCCAACTTAGAATACTGTAAAAAGCTTTAAAAGCTGTTATAAACCTAGACTAATTTTTATAGAGCTGTAAAAATTATCACTCTTATCACTTATCACTCTTAAGGCCACTTTATGCACAGGAAAAATGAAGCAGAGAGCATAAGTAACCTGCCCAGGGCCACAGAAAGACTGTCCCAGAGTCAGATAATAATAATAATAATATATAATTCAGGCACTTTGGATTCTCGTCCTGCACTTGTCTCTATTGTCTTTACTTTATTTGAGTGTCAGTAGGTATGCTTTCAAAGAATCGTGCAGGCTTTTGTAGAGTAAGGGGAATGCTGAAATGGGTGTAGTAGAGGTTATCAGCTTGTATAGGTGAGTGCTTGTTACTTATAAAGCATAGTTAAAGGAAAATTCAGAGCATCTGTATTCAACACAAATATAGGAAAAAGGCAATTGTATATATCCCACTTAAGTTGTCTGTCTGATATTGGAGGGGCATGCGATGATGCTGAATATGGGCTTTTTTGTATTAATAGTCTGGAGAGTGTAATAATTGATTTCTCGCAGTGCTCACAGTTTGCATTTTATTTCCCTTGCAATCCAGTTTTGTAGAACATGTCTAGACTCTTATTTCTGATTTGAATGGGGCTGGTTACAAATCTCAAAATAACTACTTACAGAGAGAAGAGAGCTACCAAACCAAAATAAGACCATGCTTATTCTTTCTTTGCTTATTTAAAAAAAAGAAAAAAAAGTTTTGCAGGTGTGCAATACCATGCTAAATCAAGACCCAAAATCTTATTTAGCATCTTTCCTAATTAAGCAGTTGATCTAATAAAAGATTTAACTAAAAATGGAAAAAAACTCTTGCCTTGTCCATAGTTTTGTTCACAGAAGTGCTTTCACTGGACTGCAAATCAAAAATAATCCCTTAATTATGCATAGTCTATCTCTGCAACCTTTCTTCTACTTTTTCTTTTCTTCTATTCTTGTTTCCCTGCCCTTGGACTACTGTTCGTACTCTTCCTAACTCCATCATTACCAAGTAGATCATATGTGCATGCATATGTGTATATATACATGCATGCACGGGCACATGCATATGTGTGTGTGCGCATGTGTGGGCACATTATTATAATTATATTTATAGTGATTTGGCTATACGCTTGGAAGGTTGGTTATGTGGCCAAAGGCCCAAGTGAAATCATTTGACCGAAGGATTAGAATTCGTGGTCACTGGACCAAAGTATTAGATTGGCAGAATGACTAGCATGCAGGTTTGCTCCTCCTGAAGGATTATAAATCCTCCCACCATTGTTCTACTCAAGTATGACCAGTTTTTTGTTCTTTCTAGCATAAAACTATAATGCATATGGTTCTGGAAAGATTACTTCATCTTAATAAATTATCATTGTTAATTCCATCAAGTTAACATAACTTTTTTTTTATACATAACTTTTTTAACATAACTTTTATACATCCAGATACCATAATCCTGAATATTTGTAATATTGCTCTAGGTTGGTGGTACTCAACATTTTTGCTTGGCAGGTCAGATGGACAGTGCCCAATCTGTCTGTGGGTCTGGTCCGGCAGTCACACAGGGGCCTGATCTTGCTGCGTGGAGAAGGGTGGGAGGCAGTCTGGCCCCAATCCGGCTATGGCGCGGGGGAGGGGAGTGGGGCCAACCCTGATCCAGCTGCACAGGAGAGGGGACATGGCCTTAGCCCTGATTTGGCCACATGGGGGGGTGGGGGTTGAGAATTTGGCAGTGGGAGAGGGTGGCAGGATCAGTTGCTATTGCTTCCCCAGTCCACTAAACTTCCAGACCCATGGGGAGCCCTGTGGGCCCCATATCATGGCTCTGAAGGCCAGATTTGGCCTGCAGGCCGGGGTGAGCACCTGTGCTCTAGGTAATAAATATAAGAGCTTAAAAATGTTTTACTCGTATTATACAAGTAAATGAATAATGGAAATATCAGCCCCAGGCCAATATTTTAAATACAAGATTCTTCTAATAGTCATTTGCAGTATACTTTGTCATAACATCAAGCTACAGTCACAAGGATACTATACTACACAAATTAACCTGCATCTCTACTGTTTTCATGTAAAGTAGGATCATAGGAAAGTAGGACTGGAAGGAGCCTTACAAGTCCCCTTCTTCAAGGTAGGATAATTCCTGACTAAACCATCCCAACCAAGTGCCCATCCAATCTGTTCTTGAAAATTTCCAGGCATACCCAGGAATTCCCAGGAGATAAAGCTTCTCTTATCAGCCTGTTCCAATGCTTGAGCACCCTCATAGTCAGAAAACTTCTCCTGAAACCAGCTTCTCCTGTGAAGTGCTCCATCTGGGGAGAAATAATCCTCAACACACTTACAGGCTTGGTGGTGCTACACTTGCCAGCACCACAACTGAAAAAGATTTGGGGAGTCATGATAGACCACAGCATGAACATGAGCCATCGGTGTGATGCCATAGCTGGTGGAGCAAACAAAACAGTGGTATGCATCAACCAAAGCATCTTAAGCAAGACTAAGGATGTCATCCTCCTTCTCTACTTAGCCTTGGTGAGACTGCAGCTGGAGAACTATGTCCAGTTCTGGGGGCTGCACTTCAGGATGGATGTGGTGAAGCTTGAGAGAGTCCAAAGGAGGGCTACACACATGATTAGTAGTCTGGAGAGCAGGTCATATGAGGAGAGGCTGAAAGACATGGGACTGTTCAGCCTGGGGAAACAAAGACTTACAGGAGACTTGGTGGCAGCCTATAAATATATAAGGGGCATACATCAGGGCCTGGGGGAGCATCTGTTCACCTAAGCACTCTAGGGGAAAATGAGAACCAGTGGCCACAAATTGCTTGAAAATTGCTTCAGATTGGACATAAGGCGAAACTGCTTTATGATTCACGTGCCATGGGTCTAGAATAGGCTTCCCCCAGAGGTGATGCAGTGACTTTCCCTGGAGATCTTTAAAAAACATCTTAATGTGCATCTTGCTGGGGCCATCTGACCCTAGCAGTCTTTCCTGCCCAAGTGCAGGGGGACTGGACTTGACAATCTCATGAGGTCCCTTCCAGCCCCTAATATCTATGAATCTTCAACCTAAATTTCTCCTGCTGCAGCTTGAGGCCATTTCTCCTAGTCCAGTCTCCAGTGGTCACAGAGAAAAGCCCATCTCTGCCCTCTCTATAATTGCCCTTCAGGTATTAGAAGACTGTAATCAAATCCTCCCCCCGACCCAGCTTCTCTTCTCCAGACTTGAATAACCCTGTTTATTTTAGCCTTTCCTCAAAGGTTGTGCTGCTTAGGCTTCTAAGCATTTTTGTTGCTTTCTGCTGGACTTTTCCCTATCTTTCATGAATGGTGGGGCCCAGAACTGGACACTTTGAGCTCTATTCAGAAGTGAAGCCCCTGAATAGAGCTCCAAGATCACTTCCCTTGATTTGCAAGTGGCACTCTTGTTGATACAGCCCAGTATACTCTTAATCAGAAAAAACCCAGGAAAGCACTTCAAGTAAGAGTGAGCTTTTTTCACTTTTAAGGAAAGAATTCACATAAAATTGCCAG